TAGTTTTATGTGGGAACCAGTTTGCCCCAGTTGATGCCCCTGCTGCTGTGGAGGCTTTTCTTGGTTATTGGAAGCCAAATGCAATCATCCTAATTGAAAGTGAACTTTGGCCTAACCTGATTATCAGTGCAGCAAAAGATGGTGTAAGCACCTCTTCATATATTAGATACTTGTTTGACTGGATTTGAATTGATTGCATACTGTACATAGTGCATTTTGGCTTTGATGAGATTTTTAATTATTACAATGCTTTATAGAGTGCAATACAAGTGGACGTTGAAGCTTGAAGCAAGTTGTGGGTTGAAATTAAGTTTTCACCTGTCTTGCATGGACTGAGCAAGGATACCTAATATGGTTTTGGACATGCATAATTCTTTTTCCCATAAGCTTTAAAAAGTTGGATTTGGGCTGAACCTTGATCAAATTGATTTTGGAAAAGGTTGTCAGTTGAAGGTGAAATTCAACGCTGGATAACCTAACAAACAACTGATATAGTTAGTACCCCATTGTTTTGTGCTTTAGAATGTGTCTTTGCTTGGCTTGTCAATGCCTCCATGATATTATTTAACATGTATTATATATATATATATAGGTGCATTTTATTCCTAGTTTGGTTTGGGCCTGGATGGGACCTTTCTCAGTTGTTGCTTCACCATCATGATGGGGACATTATTTCTGTTGTTGATGGCATCCAATTCATATTAGTCTGTGACATATTAGTTTGCCAATTGTGCCTGTACTTATGCCAGCAATTTCCTACCCAGATTGCGTTGGCATTGCTAAATGCACGGATCTCTGCTAAATCTTTCCGTTATTGGTCCTTACCAGTGGTTCTTCCTCTGGCTGCATTCATGCTCTCCAAATTTTCATTGATAGTTCCGTTGGTAATGTATTTTTTCTATATATCAAATGGTTTGGCCTACTGACATTGCTTCAATAATCTTTTTCTAAAATATCTGCAACAGAGCAATCAACAGGCTATTCAATTTCAGCTGCTTCAAGCTCCGCCACTTGTCATCAACTTTTCCGGAGACCTTAAATATGGTATGCTGCTTTTTGGAACTTAGAACAAAAAAGTTAAGCAAATTCAAATATTAATATTTTATTTTGAAGACCTTACAAGTTCCTTCTTTTGAAGCTTTGATTGGTTTTTTGAGACCCCTTGGGCATGCTACATCTTTGGGGTGTGCTGCTGCTTTTTTGTGTGCATATTTTGGCTGCATATACATATTAATACAGCTTGTAGAAGGTGTATATATGTTCTTTCTGGTGCATGAGATTGCAAACCAAATTCGAAAACCTCAAGGGTTCTGTGGCATATGTAGTCCAGTGAATCAAGACACTGCAAATGAACTCGTCCTTTGCAGATTAAGTTTATATCCCTTTTTCCGTTGTTTGAAGTAGAAGATGATGTCTCATCTCACCTAATTCCAAAAATTTTACTCAAGCAGTAGCTAGCATCTTAAAAATTTCTTTAACTTGTGTTATCATATCAGTGCTATTATATACATATTTTGTGTCTATATCAATGGTTATTAAATTTGATTTACTGAAATTTGGTTTGCACTTGCCACATCCTTCAGCCGTAGAAGACACCACCCTTGCAGGGGATAATGGTCTAGAAGAATTGCAGGAACAGCTTAAACATAGAAAGGTGTGGATGGCTTCTTCATTGCATAGGGGTGAAGACAAGAGTAGGTTTTGAGATCTATTCTACAAAAATTCTATAGTCTAATGTTGGTTTCTCATTTTGTATATTTTGATCTTTAGAATTGAAGGCAGAACTTGTCATGGGGGTAACCTAATTCTTTAGGACAACATAATGGTGAGAATTTTCAATCTGTTGCCTTTGCTTCATCTTTCCTTCTCTTCAGTTGGAGTTGGAAGGATAAAAGAGTGGACAAAATGAACTTGTTCTTTTACATTCTACTTGAACATTCAGGAATTGAACTTTAAAGAAAAGAAAACAAAAAAGAGCTGGTGAAAGTTAAAAGCCATCAGCTGTAGAGACTAAAAGCTAGCCTAGAAGTTATCATGGAATTTATTGGGTTCCTGTTCATGAAAAGTTTGACTGCCAGTGAATTTGGATATTTTGTTAATGAAATTTCAAAATATTTTTCCGCAGTCCTGCTAAGAGTTCACAAGGCGCTGAAGGAAATTTATCCTGATATGCTCACTATCATTGTGCCTCGGCACCTGGAGGTCGGTCAGGAAATTGTTCTGGTATGATTGCAATGCATTGCCTTTATCTTTCTGTAATTTTGACAAAAATTGTTATTGTAGTATATTCAATTATTCATAGGTGAGAAAAACCTCCTTTTCTTTGATGACTGGAGTTCTCATTTCTACTTGCCTGACTGTAGGAGTTGCAGAGAAAAGGAATCAGTGTAGCATTAAGGTCTCGTAGTGATAAGCTTTCATTAGGAACAGAGACATATGTGGTGGATACATTAGGTTTGTCTCCTATTGGCTGCACAACTCTATTAAACCTAAGAAGGACTTGAAAACTGAGGATTTCTTTTTTCCTGAGTCAATATCATACTAAAGCATGTAATTAATTTTCTGAGTAATTTGTTTTGCAAAATATGAATGTTTTGGTGATTTTAACTTCTTGATTGTCCATGATCAATTGTGCTTTGAAGGTGAACTAAGGGAACTCTATAGGTTAACTCCAATAGCTGTAATTGGGGGTTCTTTTTTGCCTGGTTTGGCTGGTCATAATATTTCAGAAGCTGCTGTTGCTGGCTGTGCTGTTTTGACTGGTTGCACTTCTTCCCTGAAATTCCTCGTATACCTTTGTTACCTAGTTCTGATCTTAATATTGTGTTTCTTGTAACTTTCAGGTCATTATCTTGGCCATTTCAACCACATGGTACAAGAAATGCAACGTCTAAATCCTTCATCGGTTCTGCAGGTCAAGAAAACCTCCTTAAATATATCTAGCATTTGTTGGTTGTATGTGTAAGAAACAGTGATTGGCCTTCTTAGCTAGTTGGGTGTCCTTACTTTTCTTTGTTATGATATCATTGATAATTGAGTGTGGTGTTCATTGGTTATTTACGAGCCAAATACAACATAGGATGATTGAACTCCATATTAGATAGATAGTCTTGGTCCTTTGCTGTTGGGAACCTAAGCCGAGACTATTGAATTTGGCTGAGGGAAAAGGTAAGAGGGCAAGATAGCTCATTTTCGGGGTCAAGATTATAGCCACCAAACTTGAGGAACACCCTGTAAACATTGTCTCCTGTCAGTATTACTATATATGCTATGATGTTTGAATATCCTTTGGAGGCACTATGGTACCTTCCACAAAGAATGAACACTGCTTACCACCATGTGCACTTGTTTCTACTAAACCTATGTGGGGATGCCATCAGTTTCTAGTGATTGTAGTTCTAGTTGCATAGAGCATTGTAGTCATTGAGCACCTTAAGAACACTAATAGAAGCTGTGGAAGTTTTAGCATGTCGGAGACTGTCATGTTGACTTTTGTTGGAATTCATGAAAGGTATATGAAGTGGATACTAGTTTTTTTCTTGTATTCCCCTGTTAGAACCTTTTCTTTGGGTGCCTTTAGTGTCATGGATTTGGTCCTGCAGGTTTCAGGAGACATGCTTGTAGAAGCTCTCATCGAACTGTTTAGTGATGCCAAACTTCTGGAAACACGACGTGCAGCTGCAAAACAAGCATATCATGCTCTGTCAATTGGTGTAGTTGAAAATATGTGGCGTTTAGTACAATTCCACATTTTAGATAAAAGCGTGCCAATGTAACTCTGCAAAGTTAGATGTCAAACACTAAAATTAGCCAGCCTCTTTCTCCCCAGTGCAGCTCGTCTTGATGTTCGATTCTGGGGGCAACGGGTGGGATCCCCTTCCACTGCTCTCTCCCAACATTGGAAGCTTCTAGCACCTGTAGTGAATAATTAAAAGGAGTATTGAGGATGATTTGAACCAATCAGGCTATGTAGAATACCTCCATGAAGAAGCCTCTGATAATCTTTGGAAGCTAATCAACCTTTCTTGTAGGACAAGGAGGTTGCATTGCCAGAGACATGACTGTGGGCAGAGAATGAAAGTAAAAGTACTTGCCCGAGGTGATTTCCTCTCTCTTTTTTTAATGTAATTTCCTGTAGTCCTTTTTTTTTTAAATTTTTTTTCACTGGGTCAAGATTATGTGATACTTGAGCTTGCAGCCTAACTGTTGATTGAGAACGATCATTTGCATGTTTCTGACTCTTAGAATTTGCATTTTTTAACTACATTGTTTAATCACATGTGATGTACTTAATTTCATTTTGCACTTCTCCTGCACTTTTCTAATATGAATTGTAGCTTTTTCTTTGACATCAGAAATTGATCAAAGCCGTTTTACGCTTTATTTGTTTCTGGTTCTGTTTAGCCTGAGTAGTGTTTTCTTCTAAAGACTTGATGGTGAAAAAGTGACCGTATGTACTTTTTCACAAGATTGATTGATGGGAAATGTTCGTGTTAACGTTTGTCTGATTTTTTAGTGAAGGGGAATGGACCTATTAATTTTAGTGGATTCTGTTTTGATTTCTTCTTCAGGATAATTGAGATTTGCAGATGGATAGAAAATCTTCCTATTATCTTTGTACCCTGGAAGGATTCAGCATCATGCGTGGTCAAACCCACGGATATTCTTGTTGCGGCTGCATAATCGTGCCAGTGCAGAAGAATTGGCAAATACTTATAACTAGTGGAAATACCCGTGATATGCACGGTGCTGACATTATTAAAAAAAAATAAAATGGTGAACAAATAAAGGTGAAAAAAATTTTACCAATAAAATTAAAATATAATATCTGTTTAACAATAGTTTGAAATATAATAGAATGTATATATCATTCAAGAACCGTCTTTTTTTGGTTGTATGAGAATTTTTTTTATCATTGTATGAGAATTGTTAACAAAAAAATACAATAGTTAATATAGAATAGCATCAATAGAATTTAGTACAATTGTGTTGTAATCAAATGAAAAATACGCACCAATTGAATTGTTATTAGCACCCATAGTTAATGAAGTAATCCCTATAAAAAAATATTTTGGTACATGTAGTAATTGGTAATCTATAAAATAAAATAAATTGCTAATCTATAAAATTGCTAAGTTGTCTATAAATAGCATCAATAGAATGTAATACAATTGTATTGTAATCGAACAATTGTAATACAATTGTATTGTATTGTATCTATAGTTGATTTAGCAAGATAGTGCAGCCAAAAAGTGTGTATGCAAGATGAGTATGACGATATAAGAAACTGTATATTTACCATGATCACGCAAAATCATTGGTGATGTGGATGTCTGGCGATCTTGAGGACAGTTAGATTTTTCATTTCTTTGATCTAGAAATAAAATATATATTAAATTAAAAATCAATAGTTTATGTATTTATTTTATGTGTAAATAGTGATACATTGTATGAGAACTGTTAACCAAAAAAATACAATAATTAATATAGAAATAGCATCAATAGAATTTAATAGAATTGCATTGTAATCAAATGAAAACAATTACAGAGAAGTGATTACCTAAACTAAGGAATGCAGTTTTAAATGCTCAAAAGTGCCTTGACGATTGCACATATGTCAGGGGCTTAGTGAGTTTTTTGCTCCTCTTGAATCATTTTCTTTTTTCTAATTGTAATATATTACTTGCAAGTGTTAAGTAGGACTTGACTCTAACCTTTCGTTTAAGTACTTTAAGCAATGAACTATTTATTCCATGAGTTGAATTGTGCTATTGCTAGATAGATGAATCACGTAGTTGTAATTGTCATTGTTGATAAAGAAAAGAAAGGCTAGAATGCAATTTTGTCAAAAGGATTTCTGACGAAATTAAAAATTAATCCAATTTTAATAATGGGCGTATAGTGCCTTAGTTATTAGTAGTATCTGAATTATTTTTCTTCAATTATAAATCATTTTTAATTATTTTTTTTAATTATAAAAAAATCTTTTTTTTATTTCATGCACGATCATTTTTGTAATAAAATTATGAAAATAACTATCGTAACACCTATTTTATGTGATAAATGTGCAATAAAAAATAATTAAAAAAATTTCAGTAATACAAACAAATAAATTTTTATAATATACAATTTGTGTTAGAAATAGTAGAACCCTCAATTATGAACCTATACCATCCGCAATTATATAAGCAAGCAATACCTTTTTATCTTTGCTTTACAGTGTAACAATAAACAAACAACCATTCATAAGATTTTGTAAAAAGTTTTCAGAAATAATGGATGATCAGAAAATCAATGCAATATCATTCATGACAAAAAATAAAGCAAAAGCAAAACATACTTAAAAAGCAGAGGGAACTGACCTGGAAAATTAAGCCGGCCGCAAGAAGGTTGATTTCTGCTGGAGTCTCTGCACATAATATCTTCAACTACTGCTCACAAAAGAAACAAAATCAATACATTTACAAAATCAATAGAGAACCCAAAACAAATAAGAAACTGAGAGAAAGGGTGAGAGAATTAACTCGATAAGTTAATTAAGTCGATCAGTAAAAGAAGAATTTGTAGGAGTAATTGTAGGATGAGTTAAGATAGTGGGATAGTGGGAATGAGATAGTGGGAATATTGATTGGTGATAAGGTGATAGTGGGATAGTGGGAATATTGATTGGTGATAAGGTGGGTTATAACCTACTACTTTTTTATGTATTAAAATAAATACAAAAATATGAGTTAAGATAGTGGGATAGTGGGAGTGAGATAGTGGGAATATTGATTGGTGATAAGGTGATAGTGGGATAGTGGAAATATTGATTGGTGATAAGGTGGGTTATAACCCACTACTTTTTTATGTATTAAAATAAATACAAAAATCTAGAAAAAAGTATGACAAGTTTAGAAGGCATTGAGAGGGTTTCTGCTAAAAATCCCTTCCTGAATACATATAGATATAGATATAGATGGGAAAGGGGCCAGAACGGTGTGCCGACATTTTAACAAGTGGTAACTTGTAAATTAACTGCTTGTACAACTTCATATTCAGTTACTATTTACGTGAAACTCATACAAAATAATTGTATCTATTTACGAGATTGTACAAGTAATTAACACTACATTACAACTTGTTTATAAAATGTCATACCATTTAGGAACAGTGACGTGAAATATATTACCGTTTTTGCTCCTTACCCATATTAAATCGCTGAATGGCCGACCGTACTTGCCTTGGTGGAAATGCCATGCTCCGCCCTTTCTGGTATTTTGCAGAAGTTTTTCATGGAATTTTCCTTCCCGCAAATCAAGAATAATTTTAAATCTGTATTTTGCAGAAGTTTGAAGCTTTAGGTTGCGTACTAATTGGAGTAGACAATTGACCTGAGGGTCAGAGAGAGGAGTGGTTTTCTTTGCTGTATTGGACTCTTTTAACTGGCGACGATTTTTCGTACCCTAGGAACGGTCTTGGACTGATGCCCTTTCTTTGGATATTAAGAGAATGCCAGAAAACTCTTGGGGCTTTTATTGACCCCGAGTGAGCGGTAAATTATTAATGTTGCAAGGATATCCATCTGCCTTCGTCTCAATATGAACTCAAGGCGGTACCGGAAAACATATGAACTCAAGGTTTAGAAGATTTCATGTCAAAAAACAATGAAAAAATTTAGCAGCTTTTTTTTTTTTTTTTTTGGTCTAGGAAGTTATAGATGATTTGTGCTCTTAATGTCACAATTCCTGCCACTTCAGTAAGTAGTTGAATTAACCACTGGGCCAATGGCTCAGTGGCCACTAGGGAGGGGTTTAAGTCCCTCCTTGGACTGTAAGTGAGATTTAAACTCCTCCCTGGACTGTAAGTGAGGGTTTAAATCTCACTTACAGCGAAAAAAATTTAAGGGTTATGCCATAGCACTCTTTTGTTCTAGTTGAGTCTGTATATCCACTAGCCCCCTACCACAGAATCCTTCGGCTTCCCTTCATACTCAGCTACATTAGAAGTTCCCTGCCGGAGCTTAATAAAATCGTCCTTTCTCTTCTTCTGGACGATAGGTGGAAGATATTTCTCGTTGAACTCCCATACAAAGTTTAATTAGGTCCATGCAGTCCCCTCTCTCTCCCATTTGGCCCTAATTACATTCCACCAAGCCTTGCCTGGACCTTCGAACTGCTTTCCCTTCCCATAGATTAGAATAGAATAAGTTATACAAATGTATCGTTGCTAACAAAAAAAAAAAAAAGTAAGTAGGTGAATTCACGGGAAACTCGTCATGTTGCTTACAGTTGGACTGGCATGCTTTTTGGCCAAGACCATCGTGGTGTGCCTGCATTGAGGATTTGGATGGGACCTTCTTCAACCAGTTCAATGCAACTACACTGCAAATGCAAAGAAGAGAAGAATGCAAGTCAGAGATTTGATTCGTTGATCAACACTCAAAAAGAGTAGAGTTTAAGCCAATCAGAGCCCAGCTAAGTTGGTTATGCAACCACATAATTAGTGGAGTAACAGAGAGTCAATCAGGGATTAATAGTGATTTTTTTTTATCTTTCTTATGTTTGCAGTACTACTGCAAGACAAGCCACAAAAACAGAAGAAAGGTCATGAATTATAGCCCTATTCTGTCTGTCCCAAATGAAATGGAAGGATTACAATCCCCACAACGCCCAGCTGGTGACATGTTTAAGGCTTTTTGAACGCTAATCGCGCCTTCATTGTCTCATCGTTTGAGTGATAGCAGAAACTAGAAAAGGTTTCAACTCAAACACAAAGCTGCATACAACCTCTCCACTTTTCCCGACAGCCTCACTGTTGCAACCACCAAAGCAAGCAAAGTCATTTTGATATCTCTACCGCTAGGCATGCATTTTGGCAGAATTCACCAATTCCAATTTTAGAGTGGACTTTGCTTTTGGAAAAAAGCCAATTACAGGGACTTCTTTAGCCTAAAAACTATAAAGTGGAAAAAGATGGCGAGGGTGCAGCAAAGTTGGTTAGAATTTATTAGTAGTATTTTTTTCAATTTTCACTCTCATCGTTCGTTTTTAATGGTATATTCTTCTTGACTCTTCTAATCACGTAAAAATATAACAATAACAACTTCCTAATCACAACAACTTGATAAGACACAAGTGATTAACAACTCAACAAGCATATCATGAAGAAATAGTCAAAGAGTTCCGATGAAGAAAAATGTTTTTTTTTTTCTTTTACAGAAAAGAAAAGAATGATGCTTTTGTTTTTGTGTTTCCGCCGCCGTGTCTTCGAACCATGGTCACCAGTGGGCTGGCTGCTGAGGGCAGTGTTGAAGGGAGTGCTGTGCTATCCCATTCTTCTCAGAGAAAAGAAAAGGAATAAAGCCTAAAAGGTAAAGGTAAAAGAAGAATCTCAGGGCCTCACCCCTCTCTCTCTCTCTCTCTGATTTGTGTGCTTCTACTCAATGGCAGTGGGGAGGGGGGGAGTGCAGAACAGCAATCATTCACACCACCACCATTCCCCATCCCCCCTCTCCTCATGCTCAACGATAATACTCTATAATAATTATTGCCACCGCCTTCCTTTAATCATTCCCCTTTCTCAGCAGCTGTGATTGGTAGGTAGTTAAAGGAATACTACCAAGCCCACCAGGAAAAGACGGAATACCAGACTTCTCCTCTCTTCTCCGGCCCGCGGGGGACCTCTTCGTCTTCCTTTCTCTTTTCAAATGTTTCCTTACTGTTATGCCCAAATCCCAAGTAGCCCTCCTTCCTTCCTTTAGTCCTTCTTGATATTCGTTCGGTACAAACAAACAATTAGAGAAACCCGCGTTAGGTTATTCCAATGCCATAATTCTACCTACGACGACTTTCTCTTCGTTTGTAGTATGCTACACCACCAACTACCAACCTGGCTCTCTCTTCCCTTCTCTTTGCACTTTGCAGTTTTTTTTGTGCATAAAGAGATTTCTACTACACCAGCCTGGAATTTACTGCTACTACTAGTAGTAGACTTACTACTAGTAGTAGTTTTTTTGTTTTTTGGCTTTTAATAACTAGTACTAACTATTGCATGCATTTTTCCCTAGTTATTGTAGATAGAGGATGTTGTAATACTAGTGTAGTTTTTAAAATTGAACGCCACCGTTATCTCGAGACTTCGCGCCCCATGCTCTCTCCCTCTGCCCACAATGGATCTTTGTCCTGCGTTCTTCTCACTTCTCCTCCTCCTCCTCATCACCCATCTTTCTTTCTTTACCACCACCGCCTCCTCGAATGACACGGCGGCCCTCACTCTCTTCCGTTCCCAGACAGACCTCCACGGCACTCTCCTCTCCAACTGGACCCTCCCGCCAGCCTCCAACGCCGCCACCACCGCCTGCACCGCCTCTTGGGTTGGCGTCAAATGCACCAATGGCCGCGTAACCGCACTCTTCCTCCCTTCCCTCAACCTCCGAGGCCCCATCGACTCCCTCTCCTCCCTTGACCAGCTCCGCCTCCTCGACCTCCACGACAACCGCCTTAACGGCACCCTCAGCCCTCTCATCCGCTGCCTCAACCTCAAGCTCCTCTATCTCTCCGGCAACGACATCTCCGGCGAAATCCCACCAGATATCTCCTCCCTACGTCGCCTCCTCCGCCTCGACCTCTCCAACAACAACCTCAGGGGCCCCATTCCTTCCCAATTCTCCAATTTCTCCCGCATACTGACCATAAGCCTCCAGAACAATGCCCTGTCTGGGACCATTCCTAAATCCCTCGTCTCCTTACAGGAACTCAAGAGCTTGAACCTGTCGAATAACGAATTTTACGGAGCAGTTCCTCAGGACTTGCTCAAGAGATATGGTGAGAATAGTTTTGCTGGGAATGAAGGTCTTTGCGGAACTAGTCCTTTACCCCCCTGTTCGTTCACTGGGAAGCAGCCACCATCTTCTTCGCAGACCGTGCCATCAAATCCTAGTTCGTTGCCAGCGACAACTGCCGCAACTTTTCCGACTGAAAAATCGAAAACTCATTCGAGGAAAAAACTTGGTAGCGGAGCACTAGTTGCGATAATCGTGTCAACTGCTGTGGCTGCATTAGTGATCGCTTCCTTCCTGATAGCCTATTGCTGCGGGAGGTACTCGAGGGATGGCAGCTCACTGGCTGGGAGCGAGAGTGGGAAGAGGAGGAGTAGTTATTCCGGTGGTGAGAGGAGGGTTTATGCCAACAATGGCGGTGCAGATAGTGATGGAACCACGGCCACTGATAAGAGTGCGCTGGTTTTCTTCGACAGAAGGAAGCAATTTGAGCTGGAAGAACTGCTCCGGGCATCGGCTGAGATGCTGGGAAAAGGGAGTTTGGGAACCGTTTATAAGGCGGTTCTTGACGATGGCTGCACCGTGGCGGTGAAGAGGTTAAAGGATGCTAATCCTTGTGCAAGAAAGGAGTTTGAGCAGTACATGGATGTGATTGGGAAGCTTAAGCATCCAAACATTGTCAAGCTCAGGGCTTACTATTATGCCAAGGAGGAAAAATTGCTTGTCTGTGATTATATGCCTAACGGCAGCTTGCACTCTCTCCTTCATGGTATGCAGAATTGATTCTACTGCTCTTTCAAATGACAGCTAATTGTTTTGAGAATTGATCAATCTTTGTGTGCTGACTATCTCCGACGTTCTTCTTTGAGCAGGGAATCGCGGACCAGGGAGAATTCCATTGGATTGGACGACAAGGATCAGCTTAGTGTTGGGAGCAGCTCGAGGGCTTGCCAAGATTCACCAAGAGTATGCAACCTCCCGAATCCCTCATGGGAATGTGAAATCATCGAATGTGTTACTTGATAAGAACGGCGTTGCTTGCATTTCTGACTTCGGGTTGTCACTCCTATTGAACCCTGTTCATGCCATAGCCAGACTGGGAGGGTACAAAGCACCCGAACAGGCAGAGATTAAGAGGTTATCCCAAAAGGCGGATGTTTACAGTTTTGGAGTATTGCTTTTAGAGGTTCTTACAGGTAAAGCTCCGTCGCAATACCCTTCACCAAGCCGTCCTCGCCTCGAGGAAGACGACGAAGAGCAGCCGGTGGACTTGCCCAAGTGGGTTCGGTCAGTGGTGAGGGATGAGTGGACAGCAGAAGTTTTTGATCAAGAACTGTTGAGGTACAAGAACATTGAGGAAGAATTAGTTTCAATGCTACATGTAGCAATGGCTTGTGTTGTTCCACAGCCGGAAAAGAGGCCCACGATGGCTGAAGTGACCAAACTGATAGAGGAGATCCGGGTGGAGCAATCTCCATTGGGTGAAGATTATGACGAATCCCGGAATTCCCTCTCGCCGTCGCTTGCAAATACTGAAGACGGTGGTGTGGCCGGCTATTGATCTACTGCTGTCCTGTCCGTCGGCATTTATGAAACGCTTCTGTCATTTGCGTTTGCACCGCCTTGGTGCAAAGCAGACTCTCCTATTTGCCTGAATCTACGGGCGAATAGAATATGTCTCCACATTAGTTTGTAAAATTTGTATGCTTTGTTTATTCATTTGCCTTCCAACATCGCATAGTTCAGTGGCCCTTTCTCCTCAAGTGTACTTGTACTCGTACTACCATTTTAGTAGTTCATAGTAACATGCCGTCCCCCCGGCATGTTTTGCAGACGTCCCTCTGATTCCAAAATTTGGATGCAACCCAAATTAGAAAGGAAGAAATTAGAATTGCTTCCAATCCAGGCTACAATATGATATCCACTGTTGCCAATTATCCCTGTCCTTTTCTCATACTGTTTATGGATTTCTTTCCAAGCTGTTGCCAATTATCCCTGTTCTTGCACCAGCGACTTTGAACTTTGATTGGATTGGAATGCCGATTCTATTTGTGACTTACTTTGCCTTCTATCATTACGCTAGACGTTGGGGGGGGCCACGAGAAACACAGACAGGAGCCTCTTTTTGAAAGGGTGAAATCTTGGGATTAACTCTAAAAATTTGGATTATTTTCGGCATTATTATTTTGGTATTTCACCACTAGAGCATCATTCCTCTCAATGATAATAGACTGTGATTTACTATGTTCTAAATTTTTGAAATTGTTATAATCTAATTCCAACGATTATGCATCTGCCTGATATCATGCCTCAATTCGACGTAGCTGTCCACAAACTGAACAAGATCTCGAAATTCTCTCAAGCAAAATAAAAGGCAGCCTTTCATTCGATTTGTGATTTTGGGTAGCCCCATTCACCCTCAACAACAGACTTGGGGTTATTCATACTAACTGCCTCCGGAGATTCTTGAGAATTAAGAAAGACTTTAAGGGGTTTACGAATCATCCCATTTAACAAAGGATATCAGTAGTATTTATGTCGGCTCTTACTGCCACGTGTGAAAAAACGCAGAGTGCAATTGATTGAAATTATGGCGATTCAAGAATATTTAGAGCACGAGGCTACATGGCCCCGGGAAAAAAGCTAAAAAGAAAAGTCTCCTGGGTTAAGGAATGGACAGCTTCATTAAAGGAAAGTGATTCTTCTTGGAATCTCGAGGAAAATCTCCCAGACCATGGGAACAGGAGGTACGATAAGGTACTAAACCATTCAGGGCCAAAATTAGGATGTGCTAAATCAGTCAAATATAGAGGAAATTCCATGAACCTTTTAGACAATACTTTCAAGCTTCGAGCAACTGGCTCCTTGTATTCCTTTCTCCAGAACTTACTTGTGTTTGATCAGAATATTGTTACCTTTCCAGATCCGCAAACATTTTACAACCAAGTTGTACAGACATCTGCGAGTAATGGAAACAATAATGTCACTACTAAAACAATTCATCTAAACTATCTGCTTAAATTAGTTACTTGAAACTGCTATCTCTTTGAGCAAGGCGTTGTCGGCCAGGTGTGATGCCTGGATCACCAGTTGGAATGGATTAGGAGCAGCTGAGAAAAAGGCATGCTCAGTGTTTTACAAAATTAACTTGGCGAGACATCTGGCGACAACAACGCTCAACAGCTACGTACACATTATATCACTGAGATACGTAGCCCCTAAAAGACTAGTTAACACTTCCTGTTTGATCAATCAGTGTACCAACTTGTTCTCCGCATAGCGCTCTTGATATATTCCCAGGCTCATGAAGATTGAAAATGACAACTGCACAAAACATTTTTACGAATTAGACACAATACAACTCTCTATCATGCCAATTCAAAGATGTCCGAGTAGAAAAGAAATTTTTCTATCCAAGTCAGACTCCACCAATTTCAGGACCCTATTTACCAAGTTAGCAGATGATATAGTGCATGAGGTCTAGAATACGAGTACCAACCAGGAATTCCGTTGTCCTCACAGGATCTTATAGCCATCATGTCCATTGGGCAGGCGCCCCCAGAAGCCAAGTCCGTGAAGCAAATATGATCAGCTGCAATGTTATTGTTTCTAGAATCACAAATAAAGACGCCATCCACATTTGTGCCTTTTAAGACAGCATCCGCATTAACTGTAAAACGAACAATGTAAAGAATTGTCTTCCACAAGGAGCAAAAGAAAGGAGTTGGAATTCAGGACTACTAACTATAAGACTAGCAGTGAAGATTTTAGAAATGCGCAGGAAGAAGTTCATACTCTCTGAAGCTCTGAGGGCTGCAGCCAAATCAGTTGAGAAGAGTGGATTCCCTGTGCCAGCTCCAATACCACCAAAAATCACAACTCTTCCTTTTTCCAGATGCCGGATAGCCCGAAGCCTACAATATGGCTCAGCAACCTCAGGCATTGAATATGCACTTTGGACACGCGTCTGCACGCCCAATTTCTCAAAGGCCGACTGTAGCAGTATAGAATTCATCACAGTTGCCATCATTCTGGTGAGACAGAGACAATGTGAGTCTGTCTGGCCACGCTACAAAAACCCCACCTCAAGCATAAAAAATGCAATTTGGACAAACAAGATTAGCATCCAGCTGAAAATTTAACACTACACAACAATTACAACACGTATAACAGGAAATGACAGTAGCCATAATTACTTGGACCATAAGAGTCGTGCATACACAATGGATACAACACACGTACTTATAACAGGAAATGACAGTAGCCAAATAATTACTTGGACCATCCAAGAAGGACATCTTAAAAAAACACAGTTGTACAACAATGATTTTAAGACAGTTTGCGAAATGAGCTGCCACATAAGCCATATCAAGTGCACAAGGACATACTTCAATTCTTCACATTATTATAACACGAAACATAGAAGTTAAGAATTCTTGTAACATCTAATTGCTACTGAACATGTATTCGATTCAGAACTTACCCAGCTTGGTATGCAGCAAACCTATCTAACCCTGTCGTCGTTACCCATGTGTGTCCACAAAAGAAGTTACGACCACCAACAACTATTGCCACCTAAGAGAACAATTATGAATTTTGCTACATGGAATAAGAAAACAGTAAAAGTTTCCGCAGAAAGTACCAAGCTTTCAAGTGGTACCTCAACACCCATACGACAAGCTATTGAAACTTCTCTAGCTACCAGCATGGCCACCTGGAATATCAATAGAAACCAGTTAAGCAAAGAATTACTGTGTGAATGAATAAATTTTACTTTCTCAACTGACACAAAGTAGCCACTGCATAAAAAATTCCCATTGAAAAGACTTCAAAATGGATAAAGAATCCAGTTAGGGCCCAACTCTTTTTACTTCTCAATCTTTAGTAGATCTCAGCATGAACATGATTCACAAAAGTTATTTTTAGCGTGGTACCCTACCATGGGTTAAGTGAATATGTTGGATGAGACGGTCGGTTAATAACAGGAAAGTGTCCCAACATTTAAAGGGTCATATCTTGCAAAAGCCCGAATCAAATCCAAACAAACCAAAGTAACGTCATTTTATGAGAGCAAGACTACCAGAGACACCTGTCCCAAAAAACATTTTCAAGTACAAAGTCATGCTGTTTGCATTTACAAATTTCAATATCATTCCTCCACTTAAATTCTTGTCTGTTTAAACGAAATTGATGTCTAGGCTAAGGGACTGGTGATCGCTGAGGAATTCAGCAAAGACATCACTCAACTCAGTTTAAAGTATTCCAGAGTAGAGTTGAACCTTTGGATCAATATTCTGCGGTGCTGTCCCAGCTAGAGTGCCACCACTAATTTTGAAGACCACTCTTCGCCATCTAGCGCTGGTAGCTTTCGACTTTATGCTATTGATCTGAGGACCAGGACTTACAGTTGTTGTTCCATATCTGTCCATTCACAATTGAGTACCATGGGAAATAAGAGCAAAGAAAAAAGAAAAAAAAAAAAGCAAGAGAGACCATCCAGAAATAAATGAGAAGGCCATAGATTGATGACACTACGAAAACCAATGCAATGACATTTCAAGTCGAAGCGAATCCACAATTAGCTCTGCAGCTATAGAATTTAACAACCTAATTACAAACCAAAAAGTAATTACAATCTCCTCATACAAATTTTAGCTAAAGATTAGGCTTATTTCAGAAGAAAGATAGATACTAATACTTTCCATTTCAATATTACTTTTCCAAGGGAAAGCACTACAAAAAACGAAGATAGCCAATACCTCTTGGACTGTCTACCAGTATTCGCCGTTCCTCCAACGGACTTATCATCGTCAGTTGCAGCCTTTCCGGACAACGAATTCCCGACGATCTGCTCCATCTGCTTAAACCAAGGCCAGTGGCTTGCTGAGACACCACCGTTACTCAACCGATGCCTCTCCAATTTATACCTCTTCTTCAAATTATCCACTTTATTCTTGCACTGCTCCACACTCTTGGTCTGCTTCTCGCACCTCTCGCTTACCATCACCGCCACCTCCTCCCAGTCTCTTCCCCTCAAATTCCCCCTGTTCAACATCATAAACTTCTCCGTGTACGCCTCTAACAAGCACGCTATCGCCGTATCGCTCCATTCCTCCCTATCCTTCCTATACTCGCCGCCGGTGGCCGAACTGCTCACTCTCGGTCGTTTGTACGAATAAGGAGTTCCGCTGTCGCTCACCTCTTCGCGATCACTACGCTTGTCATTTGGGGTATGATTGTGGTTATTCGCGCGAGATTTGGTTGGGTCATGCTCGTTGTCGAACGGGTTCGGGTCTGGATCGTACGGGTTAACATTGACGACGTGAAAAGACGTGGCGTTGCTAGCGTTGGCTAGTTTAGGATTTGGTTGGGATGAACAGAAGGCTCCATCACTGTAGCCGTCGGCGTCAGCTGAAACGACGTCGTCATCGTCGTCGTTTGGGGCGGAGAGGTTACGGTGGGTGAAGGACTGACGGTGGTGGATTAGGTTAGGGTTAGGGTTTGAAGTGGTGGCGTTATCGTCACCGAGTAGAGAGAAATCATCATCACAAGAAGCCATGGAAGGCGGAGTTAAAGAAGACCGTTAAAGGTTAGGAGTTTGTCTGCGGACGGACGTGAGAATAAACGACGTCAGGGACGTCTGGTCTGGAGATATCCGCCGTTAACGCTGATAAATATGCCGTGAATCGGTGTCGTTAAATGCGTGACGAGTCCGTTAGATAGCTAGTAAAGTTTGGTCACGTGAGTGGGACCCTTACGTTACAAATTACGCACCCGTTTCTTTTTAGGGATAATTTCAGGTTTTTGACAATTTCACTGGCCTCCCTTAAAGTTTAGAAAATTATACAAACCTCCTTTTAGATTAAGATTTTAATAATAAATTAGTCCAATTAGAAAAAAATATTTAAAAATTACTTTAAAGAATGAGATGAAATTTTTATTTCATAAATACCCCTTATACATGTATATAAATTGTAAATGAAAAGGAAA